ATACGAATGAATTCAAGGTGGATTAGAATGAGCAGAATAACAGAAAGTTAGTCTAACTAAGATGGTTGATTTCGGCTCAACAAATTATAGCTCCCAACCCATAACTTTCTTTATGTCCTGCCTCCACCTAAGCTTCTATTCAGCCCTCACCCTGAGCAGCCTAGGCCTAGCCTTCCACCTCCCTGGGCTGGGTTTGCCCAAATCAAGCATTTATTTACTGCTGCAGCTGGGTGTGAGTCTGTCCCCAGTGCACCCACCTGCCAGCCCTGTGCCATCCTGGTGAGCCACCAGGGCTGGGGGAGTGCCTGGCTGTGAGCACAGGACGTCTGGGACGGGCCATGTGGGGCACAGCTGCTGTGCCATGCTGTGACACTTTTAGGTGCAGGCGAGGTAGCACAAACAGAGACTTCAGAATGTGACTTCAGAGTCCAAATGCAAGTGACTTCAGCTCCCCAGAAATAGTGTGGGGGGAGAGGACCTGGAGCTGCACTTCCTGGGGATGTTGGGGTGCTCCTGTGCCTTTTTCCTCTCCTGCAAGTTGGGCTACACTCCCACCATTGCCCTCCACCCCATGGTGCTGGTGGGGCCACCAGCCAGGGGTCACAGAGGTGGCTCTGGCCGGCACAGGCTGTCCCTCCCCAGCACCAAAAACCTGTGATGAGCACTTTGGGAGGGTTCCCTGCCAACCCTTGGGTGCCCTGGTGGTGTGCAGGGTGTGGGGGCATCGGTGGGCATTGGTGCTGTGGCTGCCCCTCGTGAACCCGGGCCGAGTGAGCACCGTGAGATGCTGGCGTGCAGCAGGGCACGGAGAGGGGCACAGTGGCCTTCAGTGCATTGCAATCATTTCTCTCTGCTCTCCCCAGGGCGAGGAGCAGTGCGAGGACAGATGGTGTTTTTGAGTGACCTTGTAGCTCCGAGCCGTTCCCTGGCTGCTGAGTAACGCTGGGATGGGAGCCGCGGGAGGCGGCAGCGGTGCCACAACCTGCCCGGGCCAGAGGGAGCCTGGCAGGGAGCCAGGCCTGGGGAGAGCCAGGGATGGAGCCAGAGCCCGACAGCCCCAACGTGAGGGCTGTGGGGAAATTCTGTGTGCACTGTGATCCCTGGCTGCCCGTGGCTCCGGGAAGTGTGTGGTGTCGGCAGGGAGGCTGCTCGGGGCTCCATCCGCTCCTCCAGCCTGCATCCCTGCACTTCCTTAGCAGTGGGATCACTGCTCCGAGCTCAGGGATCCCTGCTCTGGGCTCTGGGATCACTGCTTCAGGCTCTGGGATCAGGGATCACTGCTCTGGGCTCCATCCGCTCCTCCAGCCTGCATCTCTGCTCGTCCTTAGCAGAGGGATCACTGCTCCGAGCTGAGGGATCACTGCTCTGGGCTCTGGGATCACTGCTTCAGGCTCTGGGATCAGGGATCACTGCTCTGGGCTCCATCCGCTCCTCCAGCCTGCATCCCTGCTCCTCCTTAGCAGTGGGATCACTGCTCCGAGCAAAGGAATCACTGCTCCAGGCTCCCTCCCTGTGCTCTCCCTTGGGAAGGGCCTGAGCTGTCTCCAGGAGCTGCAGCTGGCACGGTGGCAGCACAGCCGTGGTGCGTGGGGACACACCTGGGAGTCCGTGGTGTGCCCAGAGGGCAGCAGCAGAAAGGCCTCTGCCATGTGAAGTTTCTGTCAGAGCTGTAATCCAGGGCTGCGGTCCTGCGGGAACAGATCCAAGGGAAGGGAAAATTGCACTGCAAGGTGCAGCTTTGCTGTCGAAGAGTCACCCTGGGCAGGCTCAGCTCCCCTGGCACCCTTGCAGCCTCCTACGAGCTCCGTGCGGGCTGCAGCGCCGAGAGGTGTCCTAAATTGGGGAAGGAACAAGGAGCTCTTGGCACCCGCCTGGAGCATCATTTGCATTCGGCGCAGCTCCGGCTGCGAGGGAGGC